GCAATGCATCCGACTGGGGGACTATTGACATTTCAACAGCAAAGACACATCCTCGTGGCAGGGAAATTTCTTGGTGCAGTGAGAGATGACCTTGCTGAATACATATTCTGTGGAAACGCTGATAGAGCTTCAGTAGCCTGGGAAATTGAAATTGTCTTATAAAAGGAAAGCATACAGGATGACAAGCAAACACTGTATGCGTGTGATTGATTCAGTCATTAATCTGAGCTGTACTCGACGTGTTTGTGTGTATATGGGGCTGCAAAGGTGCAAATGCATGCTTGTATGTGTTCAAAGAGCCCGTCTGTGCACACATGGATAAGACTCCTTCTGTTTAACTGCTGTCCCTCAGCCCACCTCTGTCCTCGCACGTCTTCCATTCTATTGATTGGCGCACAGAACAAATACGCGAGTCCCCATTGCAGGTAAAAAGAACTCTTGTCTGTAGTGGTGGGTAAACTAAGAAAACACCATGACCTCTGACAACAAGAAATGTTTTTCTTGTTCTCAAGTCTGTGAAAACGTTATTCTTTTTAGTACTGGTTTACTCCAGTAAACAAAAATAAAAATGTGTCAGTGATTTAGCTGATGCTACTATTATTTCTCCTCCTTCTTTGGTTGAGAATATTTTGAAAAGCTGAGAAGTACTTTAACAGTTGAATCAACTCTTGAATGGAAAAACATGCTCATGTTAGGTCTAAGTCACCCAGGACAAGAGATTGGTTAAACCACAGGTGTTCCCTGACCCATTGGCAAATGGTTGCTGGGGATTGCTAGGTTAAATGGTATATGGTAATGTACCAAAAACTTCCTTATGATTGCTTTGGTCACTAGAGGTGGCCGCTTATAGTTTGCATGAAAGACGCCGACTTGTATGCAAACACTCACCCGTACTATCCGAGCTATAGTCAAACACAAACCTAAAACAGAACGTAAAAGGCAAGCACTTTGCTCGAGGTTCACTATAGCTCAGAGAATAAAAGGCGAGTGTTAGCAGACAAGTCAGTGCCGTTCATGCAAATAATGGCCAATCTTTGGGAGGGTACTAATTTCTCCTAGCAACTACCAGCAACCACATCTAACCGTCAGGGGAAAACACATTTTTTTCTCACTGACCAGTCTCTAGGCCTGTGTGACCATCTGAGAGACATGTGGTCACAATGGTAGGCTCGCCCTATAGCAAACCCTACTTTATGATCCTTTAATGGGATATAATTTACAGCATGAACATTACCTAGAATTCAACAAGAAATTAAACTAATAACTGAGATCATTAAAAAAAACTTCAAATGATTTTTTTTACTTCAGTGTAACCAGATTACATTTTCCCAACCAGAGGATTTTCCCCTACTGGCCATTTGTTAGTTTAAGGCTTGTTGTCATTGTTTTCACTTTTCAAACCTTGAAATTATGTCATTTTTTTATAGACTTAAGATTGTAGCCATGTTGAATGCAGATGGGATGTTCTCTACTGACTGATTCATATTTTAGTTTGTATAAAATCAACAAAGTTAAAGCACTTCGACATGATGAGAACTTTGAGCTGAACGGTATCCGCATGCTTCGCTTAGGAAAGGCAGTAGAGCACATCTCCATGAGCTATTATTAATAGTGCGCCAACTGTCTCAACTTGTGTCATCTCTTTTTTCCTTCTTTCTTTTTTGAATTTGATATTTATTCTTGGGCTGTGAACTAAGCTATATTATTTTACTTCACAGACATCTTGAATTTAATCACATGCCTTAAACACCGGCTTAATCATACAAGCCTAAAATAAATCCAGTCCTCTATTTTTGGTCACTCATTTTCCATCTTGTTGCTCCTTTTACATTTTATTTCAGTATAATTTGTTGTAGAAAACAGAAGCACAATGAGAGCACTTATTCCAAAAGCTAAAATAAAGCAGTCCTAGAGTTAATTTTGTATTAATTTAAGCCAAAAAAAAGCCATCTGGCACATTTATTGAGTTCTTTAATAGACTCATAATTAACCAAAAGTGAATAATTTTACAAATGGAATGTTAAAGTGACTTTGCAGGCCAACAACTCTTAATTTATAACTGCAAACATTAATGTTTGTACTGCTGGACTTAAAGTGGCATTGCTAATGAATGTAAATTTAGAAATTTCTAAAACTGTATTTCAAACGTGTTGTTAAAACCTTAAAATCTTTAAAGGATAAGGCTGGCAGCACTGTGACATGCCTTTTTCTACCCCTCTGAAGTACTGCAATCATTGGCAAATAGTTCAAAAGGGTAAGCGAGCCAGATTTGGCAGCTTACACACTCATTTGGCACTCCCACTATTTCAGTCCACGCAATGGAATGCAACAGAAACATAGATCTAAGATGAACCTGAACACCGAGAAGACAGCTTATTAGAGTGTCCCAATTTGAATGTGTCAAATATTTCTTAAATTGTGACGGTTTTAGAAAACACTAAAAAAGATGAAACAACACGGTCAAAGTCTTTCTGTGCTGGGGATAAAAAGTACCCACTGATTTGGTTTTCACAATAAAGTCCAAGGTAACGGGTAACTGTCATTTGCAATGCATGTTGCAATGAGTTTTTGTCGCTGCTTTGTATGTGATAAGCTGAGAGACCACCACTGCTTGGTGGCAACCGGACAGGTTTGTGACCGAGAACAGGCCTGTGAAGGACTGGGCTCCGTCCAATCAGCCCCTAGGGAGGATCTCCTGCTCTTCAATTCTAATTCATGTACATATAAATAACTGTCACTGGCATTGCTAATTGGATTAAAAGGCTTGGTAGAGGAGAGATGGTGAGAGGAGGAGTGAAGACGTTAAGAGAGGCAGCATGGCATGATATGCAGCATAATTTTTTGTTGGAAAGGTGGCGATTTTTGCACTAAACCCCAATTATTGCTGAGTAAAAGCCACTATGTTTTAAAAGGAATAGCTGAAGCAAAGCAAGGAAGGAACAGAGGACAGTTCATCCTCATGTCATAATGTAGTATATTCTTTTAGCCTTACAGTATTAGTTGGAGCAGCTTTCATGCCCTGATAAGTCAGGACACCAAAATGATTATATAGCACAGTGTGTCGATATGATGGTGTAATACATAATACATAAACACTTTTTAAGAAAGCAAGTCGGGGACATTAAAATGTCAAAGAAAGCTAGATGTTGTCTGAAAAGCATCACCGTCCAGTTGCAGTCTAAGCCGCCTAAATCATTCAGAGACCTTAAACAACAATAAGTACCGCCGGATGGAGCTCTGCAGGTTTGCCTTAATACTCAACATTACTCACTTTTCTCATTCAGCGGAGCAGCTGTTAAATTATTTGCTTGTACATCAGATAGTTGTTGCTGGAGTTTTTGTTCACAGCAGACAGAATATTTTTGCTAAAACTCAAATGCTGCAATTTGAAATCTGTATATTAAGTGGTGGCACAATTCGACTTGGATGGAACAACGAGAAATCGGTGCATTTAATTTTTGCGCCCGATGACTGATTGCGAGAGCTTGCAGCAACCAGCTGGTTTCCTAGAGGTTGGGAAGGCAACAATCCCAACCTCTGGATATCCATTTTAGATCACGAGGTGATTGGACAGGTCACCTGGTTAGAGACAAACTGTCTCCAAGTAATCGAGGCCTGACACGGACTGACTGCAATTACTCTGAGACAGATTGGTGAAGGGTTGCAAATAATTACTGTTTGACTTATAAATACAGACAGACTGTAGGCATATCGCAATCTGTGTGAGTCAGTCTGAGCCAATGGAAAGAAAGAAACAGGTTTGTATTTAATGAAATTAAAGAAATGTATAGAGGAAGAACGTGGTAGTAAACATAATAGGATGGAAATTCCTGTTTTTCACAGCTCAAGGCATTTGAAATCACAATCATAATAATAACTACAAGAGATCCAGTAAAGCTAATGCTTATTGCCTTTTTTGCAAGTTTCAAGAGTGTGAGCCGGATCATTAGAATTTAATGGGTTCTTCTTTTGCCCATATTCCACCTCATAAAATCCAGGCTGAGTTTTTGTACAGTCTTGCTGATGACGGAAATACAGACAAACAAACAGCACAAAAAATCTCCCATAATCATCATCATTATCATCTCGAAGACTTACCCCAGACCTTACCACGATATATGGGGTTAAGATGTCGTTACCAGAGGCTACAGAGGAAAAACAGATCACACAGGTTGCTCTAAAACAGCGTAACATGCACCTCTGAGCACGTTTTCCAAAAACAACTCCTTTCTGGATTTTTCAGTTTGGAAGAAACTATCAAATCTCTACTGACAAAGACACACACACAGACAAACACACGCTGTGGTTGTGGTTTGCTGTCAGCAGCCACACCTTTCACCTTCTGTACTCGTCTCTTTCTCTCCCAAAATAATTGTAACACTCCAGCTCGCATGTAAAATTAATAAGAATATGATTACACACATTTGATTTGAAAGGCAACATCATTATCTCCTGAATGAAAGCTTAATAGGTAATTACGACAATGCAACAATGAAATGTAATACCAAAGTAGTGAAAGCTATATCCTCTTATCATTTTTAAATCACTGCCACTAGCAGTCTGCGACATAAATGCACTGTCTGTGTGTACAAATGTAGAACAGCAAAACTGCAAAGTCCAATTTTTTCCCTCCCAAAAGCTTTAATTTTAAATGCTTTTTCTTTTATTTTGAAAAAAAATATTGTTGAAATAAGACCCTTCGGATCATTGAACTCTCTCTCTGTGCAGTGTGTACTAAGTTGCTCAAGCTAGCGCTACTTAGAATGCCGGTAAGCGACAGAAGACATCAGCATCAATGACAGCAGCATGAGTTCGCAATGGTGAGGTAGACAAAAATCAAAATGTGAGCTTGAGAGATGCTGAGAGAAAGACTGCAGATTTGACACACAGTGCAAAAATACGAGATGAAAGAGGAAGCATGTATTTGAAATGAAACAAAAGCTCGAATATGGTGGGAGGTTGTGGTCAGGAGAAGGAAAGGAGATGTGGGGGAGGCTTACCTGGGTCCTGTGCAGCTCCTGTGTTTGTGGAGGAGGGTACAGTAGGTGGGAAGAGGAGAAGCAGTGGGGAGAAACAGAAAGGGAGATTAGCGTTTAAAACCTCATTCAAAGTTGATTTGCCAGTGCATAAAGGTGCATGCAAGTACAGTACAGGACAAATAAGGTAAGAATCCAAAGGGAAACAACAATCATGCTTTTTCAGCGTTTTAACAAGAAAATTAAAAATTAAAAACCGCATTTTTAAAAACATTATACAGTCACTGAACAAAGCTCTTAGCTATGCCATACAAATAGCACAGCTTTTACCTTTTACTGGTTAAAGGACTGAAATATGGATTGAATCAGATTAGAATAATACCGTATTTAGAAAGGAATTACATCATAGGCAACGGTGTGAGTTTGCCAAGCAACCGGCAGAACATCCAGGAAGCTCCAGCTCCCAGCCAAGAAACAGTCGAGCACATAATCCCATGCACAAACACATTTTTCTGTCTTTTCTACAAATTAACCAAACTATATCATTTTATAACATGCTAGGTTCTTATTTTTGTTCTATGGAGAGAAAAAGACATTCTCATAAAAGCTAGATCTACTACAGTGCATGTTTGAGACCCCTGTTTCTTTATATTTCAGGTCCAAGGAATCAGACTTTCTTGTATTTTTAATAGTCATTCAAACATTAAAAATGCACCCAACCAGTGCACTCCCCAAACATTTCTGCAAACAATGTGAAATAACACCAATGTTCTCAATTGAATGTATGGAAAATGGCAAAGGTAGCACAGTTTGACAGGCAAAAAATTGTATTTTTGCAACAACAAGGTGATTCCTAAAGAGTTATTAGCTGAAAACCTGGCATAGGTGTGCACGGGAAAAAAGTTAGATTAGTAGATGTAAAAGAAGAATTAGCAAGGCTTAAAAACACACATCTTACAAACAGTACCTGAAAGTCATGTCTTTAAGAAATTTTAAAAAAAAAATCCAACGAAGACCTGACACAGAACCTGAGAGATACATCTGGACCTTCAGTTAATCCAACTACTGCTCACTGAAACCTCAGTGCAAGGATGGTTTTCAAGAAGCGATTCTTAAGCAAAGGAAACAGGGAGAAAAGGTAGAGGTATGCCAAATTACACAAGAACTGGACTAAAATCAGTCGTATGGAGTAATGAATCTGAATTTGTTGGTTCAAATCATTGCCAATACAGAAATGAAGGACGAGGTCAGGAGAGAGGTACATCAGTGAGTGCCCACAGCCATCTGCAAAGTATGGCTGAGGTTTGGGGTTGCATTTCAGCCAGTGGTGCTGGGGAGTTTGTAAAAATGTATGCAACTATGCAACAAATATTGACTTTCGAGCTTGTTACAATTGCCTTGTATACTGTGTTTCACTGTATGTTTGCACCTTTCAATACATTTTTGCATGCATTTTTTCCCTTTTCAAAAAAGCAAAGAAGGGTGGCTTAAGACTTTTGCTGTATTGCGGTACGTTTATCTATGCATATATGCATGTATTTTGATGTATGTACTTTTTAACCGCCAAAGACTGTGCCAAAAACATAATTTTATAATAAAAGCTATTGCTCTCATTCAGCTAAGAAACTAAATATGTCACTTATGGTGGGCCCGTTCAAAGATTAGAGAAAAACACCCACTTTTAAAATAAATAAATGTAAACCAGCATGATCAGCTATATCAGCCTCAGCGGGGACATCAGTAGAAAAAGAGCAGAGTTGGCCATCAGTATACAGTCTGGCATCCGTTTAGGCCCCCATCGTTGAGGAACATTTTTCAGCCAAGTAAGCATCAGGATTCCAGCTATGAGGCAGCTTTTGATTAGAAAACCTATTTCCTCTTCAACTTTTGCCAAATTTCAATCATGGTGATATTCTAATTACCATTATCCAGATCAAGAAAGCGAGGCAGAGATTGAGTGGGTGTGTGCAAGTGAGAGAGAAGGAGTGTTTAGAAGGAGAGCCTGTCTTCGCATGTAAGCGGGGAAAATAAGAGGAAAATGCTCAAAAACAAAATCAGCTCTCTTATATCCCGTTACACAGCTTTGCCGGTGGTAAAGATGTATGTTGGTGAGTCTTTTTGTGGACTGTAATTATCTGGACAGGTTTATTTATGAGCTTAACGTGATGATGAAAAAAATCAAAGGGAGTAAGATGTGTCATGCAATGGCGTAATAAATTTCATAAACTAGTAAAATTGGTAGTAAAAACTCCTCATTGGTAGCTTTTATCAAAGTGTTTAACCAACGCTATACATCAGCGGTCCCCAACCTTTTTCGCGCCACGGACCGGTTTATGCCCGACATTATTTTCACGGACAGCCTTTAAGGTGTCGCGGATAAATACAACAAAATAAAACTAGTAGATTTATTCATAAAACACGTGAAAAGACCCAGGAAAACCAAGTTAACGATAAAAACGATAACAAAATAACGCTGAAAACCAATAAAAACCCTGAAAACTATACATTTCACACCTGAGCCTCAACGCTCGCGGCCCGGTACCAAACGACTCACGGGACCGGTACCGGTCCGAGGCCCGGGGGTTGAGGACCGCTGCTATACATGGTCCAGCAAAAGAGCTGACTGTTAAGTTAAAGTCTCAGGTGTATCCTGTTTAAACATTCAGCACACTAGGATGGGAGTAACAGAGTTCTTCAGAGAGCCACATATCCAAGCCAGACCACCCTTGAGTTCAGGTTCATGCAGTGCGACGGGGTGGGGGTTAGTTCTGGGGAGATTACCCAGCAATAGGGGAGACATGGAGCAGCTCTCCCCATGTTAAGCAAATGGAGAGCGGGTAAAGAATAACTGCATGGCGCTTTGCCCCTTGTGGGCCTTGCGGGAGCCTTCGCCGTCCCACCTCAACCCACAACCTCCGGAGGTGAGGTTAAATGACAAGCGCTGCACAGATGCATTAAACATGAGTCATTTGGACAGAGAGCTGGATGCTGGACCACTCCAGAGATGATAGGGACATTAACCAGGGTTTCACCAGGGCCTGAGCTGCATTTAATGAAGGCCTCCACTATCTCCCAATGTCTCTCTCTACATTTGACTCAGAGCCAGGGAGTTAAGTAGTTCAAGATAAACACTGCCACTACTCTTTCTGGCTCCAGTTGTCTGATTTTCTGCCTCTTCCCCTTTCTCTGTACTCACTGTGCAGCCTGACAACTTATTATGGTCTGCTTGCAGAGAGTGGTGGTCAAGAGCAACTTGTGAATTCTTAGCAGCTGTCACACAGAAGTGATTTTGTTTTTATAGTTCTGCTCATCAAAATAAAATTCAAAAACGATTGAACATTTTTCAATTTTTAACATATTTTTCTTCGTACTATTTTCAGTCAAATGTAGGGTTTTCATTGTGATTACTTTCTACATTTTACAGGCCTACAGACCCCCAATGTTTTTAGGAAAACACAGCTACCATCACTAGTTGGTTAAGCTAATTATTTACATTCTCATAATCAGTGTTGGTCAAGTTACTTGAAAAAAGTAATCAGTAACAAATTATTGATTACTACCAGAAAAAAGTAATCCTGTTACTTTTACTGATTACTTATTTTCAAAAGTAATTAGTTACTTTTTAAAACATGATTTATCCCCTAAATAGGTAATAAGGCAATAGCTCTTTCAGCCCAATTCATAATCTCTTTTCTGCATAATCTATCATATAAAATGTAATAAAATGAAAAGTCTCTTTTTAAAACTCGTTTTATTAGTTTTAATCTTTTAACTTCAAGCAAACATTAAATTATATGCAACATTCTCTGACTGGAAGAAATTTGTTTAACATTTAAACCTATTTTCTGCACATTCCAGCACATGAAATAAAATAGTTTTTTGTGTTTACACTCACTCTTTCAAATAGATGCACGTAAAACACAGCAGAAAATAAATGAAATCAAAGACTAGCGGTTTTCAAAGACAAATAATACAACCAGTTAACATTGTTTGTAGCATGCTAAGATACCACTAGCTGCAGTTGCAGCACCAATCTTAGTTGCAGGTAGTTGTAAAATGCATTTTCCTAATGAATTGACATTTAGACTACTAGACTAACCTGATATTTTCTCTCATCAAACTGACAAGTAAATTAGTCACCAAGAGTGTTATGACTCTAAAATATGGAGCAGCAACAAGTGTTGAAAAGAGGCAGTATCTTTGCTAAAGCCAGTTACTAATGTTACTAATGTTACCAATGAGAAGTCCTAATAACTGATAGGCCAGAGGTGGGAAATGACTAGCCAACTATCCATTGGATGAGCACAATCATCAAGTATTTTTCTTTTGTTTTTCCAATACAGCACAACATAACAATAACAACTGTTCCCTTAAGCTGCTTTATATATTGAGAGGAAGACCCTACAAAAATAGAGAGAAACCCAAACAAACATCGACTCCCTTTGAGGAAGCACTTGGCAAGAGTGGGAAGGAAAAACTCCCATCTGAAGAAGGCTACAGCAGAAGCAGGCTCAGGGAGTGGGAGCAATGTGCCATGACCAGTTAAGGCTGAGAAGAGTTTCAAGTTTAAAACTTGAAAACTAAATTCTATGTAAAAATGTAAAATAGACACGGTGCATACAATGACTGTGTGGAAACACAAAGGACAGCTGATGGCAGAACTGTGCCACATTTGTTTTTATTCTGCCGGTCGAATACTTTTTTTAGCTAATGTAATTAGCTTAGTATTGAAGTCACCTGCAACAAGTCACTAGCCTTCATGTTAGTGAAAAAATCATGTTCAACCAAGTCCACAGGTCATCCAGTGGTCAGTATCTTCATTTCCCACCACCAGCCTATCAGTTACCATCACATCTTACTGGTCAAATAGTAGCTGGCTTTAGCAAGGATATATATCCGACTCTGACTTCTCAGTGGGTGTGCCACGTTAAAAGGTCTAGCTCTAGAGTGTCCTTTTTTACTTCTTCCTACTTACATGTTACTACTCACTCAAAAGGCTCCAGAAAAGACCTCTCCAACAGTAGTTTGGCAAAGTTGTGAGC